ACTGCAAAGATCACCCCCCCCCCCCGCAAATAACCCACTATCACCACATATGTGAAACTCTTAAATGAGCAATGATGTTTATTCAAGGAGGTGATGTCTCCTCCTTACTTCAGTGGGTCACTTAAATCTCTTTGCAGCAGTGACTATGGGAGAAAGAGGAAGACAAGTGCACAATGGGAAAGAGGGAGGTCTGTAGAGGTCTCTGTGTTCAGCAGACCAGGACTGCAGCTTGAAAAGATGCTCTATTTCCCCATCATTCAAGAAAGATGGGTGTCAGAGAAAATGGAAGTGAAATATTCCCCCCCATAGTCTCAGAAGTTTCAGCTAAAATAGCTCTCTCAAAAGGCATCAGGGGAACCAGAAGTAATTTTTTTTTTTTTTTTTTTTTAACAACCATCAGGCAAGTATGCTGGCCTGATGAAGTGCTTTTAAAGTAAGGAGGTGGTTTGATGTGGGTGTGGATTAGTGATATATTTAACAAGTTCAATTTTCACCCTCAGATCCCCTAGAAGAACCAAAATGATCCCATGTGACTATGCCCAGTCCTGCTATCCAACTTAGGAAAGGGACACGGGAACAAAGGCTGGAGGGGTGAAGACACACAACTGGAAGTGGGCAGAAGTCCCTGAATGCACGAGTTCAGTAGCCTTCCTTATAACCATGGCTACTTGGAGTGACTTATGAAGCTGGGGCTAAGCAACTCAATGAGATTCAGAGTTCACACAAAATTTGCCTTACTAGGTTACTGAGAGATTTGGTGAGATCCCAGGGGACTGATTTGGTAATCAAAGCAGCCACCAGTGCTCTGCCTGAAAGCCCCTGAAACATAAATCATGCAGGTACTGGGAGGAGTTAAAACTAGGGGGCACCAAGATGTAGGTTGATATCAACAGCTCTGGCTCGGCATATAGCATTTGTTCTAAACAGCATAGTCAACTCTTATCCATTTGGGTCTCAGACATGCAACTAGACAGAACTGTTGCTGGGCTACGCAGAGACATGGCTCACTGCCAGGCTTGTGAAATGCGAGGCAGGGAGAGCCGATTTCTGCTGGAAATCTGACTAAGTCGTCCTGTTCATACAGTGTTATCTGCAGGCACTGTCAGTGCTGCCCACTGCCAGCCAAACGTTCTCGATAACTGCACACTTGCAAACAAGTCTTTGGCCACAGGTAGAGCTGATTAGGCGAAAGCAACTACCTCTGCTGGAATCATGCAGCTGCACAATACTGGGAATACTCCAATAAACCAAAAATCCCTTGGGAAAGACAACTGAAAGAGATGCAGGCGGGAAATGCTGAACACAGTCTACTGTCAAGGACATTGCTGATGTGAAGCAAAGAACTGCATGCATTTTGTTCATCGTGGTAGCAATATTAAGGGAGGAAGCAGGGAGCTACCTAGATAGAAAGAAGAAGTACTTTTGACCCTGTACAAACTGGGAAAGATATTGTTAAGTTTTAAACAGCAACTGGTATTTGAATCTTGCTTCTAAAGTGAATTTATTTGGGACACAAGCACTTTGAGAAGCAACATATGTGGCTGTTACAGGAAGCAATAGTCAGAAGCCCAGTTTTTGGCTGAAACCCAAGACTGATGCAGGGCAGCAAGATTATATTTCTTTCTCTGCAATCCACTTTCCCAAGGACCTTTAGCTTCCCAGTATCCCTCCTGTATGTAAAACAGGGAAAACCTGTGCAGCACAAGTTCATGAGTGGGGTACAAGTTTGCTGCTGGACATAAACACCCTTGTATGCAAAAATCAACCATATTCTAGTAACATCAGCTCAGAAACTGATAATTACTCAATAAAAGCTGATCCTTTAAGCTGAATTGGTCTCAGGCCTTCCAAAATACATCCATAAAGTTCATAAAGAGCAACACTCCATTTACACATCTGATGGATACCCTGCTGTTTTGGAAGTAACAATTTCAGCAGGCACTGAAAATTCAGACCCTTAAGTCAGAAGCACTGAAAGACCTTTGATAATGGAAAGCATTTCACATTTAGAGCTTGGAACTTCCAAAAAGCAAGGAACTAAGGAGCCACTTTTAAAGTAGGAAAGAAACTCCAATTTGCACAGAGCGTTACAAGATACAGCATGTCGGGGGAACTACTTCAACAAGGCAGGCAGCACCAATACAATAAAAGCCCCAAGGCAGTTTATTTCTGAATCTCCAAAATATTATCTTCCACTTCATCTCTGCCCTGGAAGAATGCCCGGTGTATTTAGTTGTACAGCTTGCAAAATGCAGTTTGATCAGCTTGTAAAAGGATCGGGACTCCTTACTTAAAGGGTTCAAGATTCTCCTGCAAACTCTGTCCTGTGAGAAAGGGAACATGTCTGTATTAAATCACTGTACCTTTGCATCAGTTTCTGCATTCCTCGGATCTATGCACTCTTGCTAATTTACTGATTTCAGGCCATTAAAGTCTCACTCAACAAAACATAACTCAAGGGCGTGTCCAGGTACAGCACACAAAAGCCGGAGGGTGCAGTCTGTGTGGTGATTCACAGCGACCTGCTACCTGTTGCAGGTTAGGCAACTATCTTATGGACTTTTCCCCACCACGCTGCTTTACCCCTGGGCTAGCAAAAAGCCTCAGCTGAAAGAGAAACATATTACAGAATGGCAGGAAAGAGCAGCTCTCTGCTTTCTTCATTTAATTTCCACCAATCTGTAGTATATAGAAATGGGGATCTCTGAAGTGATAATAGGGACACTTCTCTATCAAGTCCTGGGATCGGGAGATAAAAATGTAAAGGGGCTGCTACAGAGATCTCCTAGAAGCATATCCAAGCCAAGAACTATCACCAAAAAATAACCTGAATTGTCCCTTTCTGCTCTGGAGCAGACAGCCCCTCTGTCTGTCGCTTAAAGAAAAAGTTGTACTAGTTCCAAATGCACCAAGTCACCATTCACCACACTGGGAACAGCCAGACAATTGTATGCATTCCCCCAAATGCCTACTAAGTTGAGCCTCGCTTCTGCCTCAGAAAGGAAGCACTGTTTCAGCTTGGTTCAAAATGGATGGACAGCCACTTATGACATCCTATATGACATTTAGCTAGCCCTCAGCAAGCCAATTTTTTTATCTAGAACAGTGGTTCCCAACCTGTGGTATGTGTACCACCAGTGGTATGCAGATAACCTGTCAGTGGTATGTGTTAATAGTTTTATTATAAGTATTTTATATGACAAAAATGTGCTGGTGGTACTTGAGGGTGAACTGAAAAATTTAGGGTTGTATCTTTTTGAATTGGTGGTGTGCAATCTGTCAGTTTGGGAACCACCGATCTAGAACGTACACCGAGCGGAGACTGCAAGCAGTTCTGCTACCCTGACGCTTCTACCGCACTGAGAAAGACCTGCGACTCGGCTAATGCTGCAAATCACAGCCTTCTGTAGGACTCAAAGATGACTAGTTCCTACCGCCACTAAGAAACTCTGCCATCCCTATTCAAAGGATTCCTAGTATTAAAAGGCAGACCTCTGACATGCTAATTCCAGGGATTGGACCTGGACAGGATTTTAAAACCTGATGGGAAAAAATAGTATCTGGATCACTAGAGCTAGGCTGGTATTTAACATCCTCAGCATTCATCTGTATCTTTCTATGCTTGCATCACTAATTCCCCTGAATGTTTATCACCCAGAGAAATATGTAGGTGGAGAAGGAATCCAGCCAGTGCAGCCTCAGTCATTTCAAACTGTATAAAGAGTCTCAGTTTCATGCAGAAAAACAATGAGTTGATGCTGCCCTACAGAGCTCAATTTGCTGAGGTAAGATAGCAGCTTTCATTCTTTATAGTAAACACTGGAGCATGGAGGGCCGTTTCAGTGCATAAAACAATGAGACAGGCAAGGGGGCTGATGCTCGGTTACTCTGAGCTTACCCACGGCTCTCAAAACTGCTGGCTGACCTAAACGTATAGAAGAGGAGCTACCCTGATGCAATGTTAAAGCGTTTGAAACGTCAGCTTTAGGAGACAGGCCAGAAAGTTGTGTGCGAATACTGACGGGATATCGCCAAGGTGGAACCCATAAAAAAGTGGCAGTTTCTTGATTCAGAGCAACACCTGCTACTTCTGAATTCCAGTTTTGCAATAAGCAAAAACAGGCTGTAGTTCTTGCCTCCTCCCATACCCTGGATTGTTATTCTTCAGGTGGTTCTGGAAGCTGGCCAAAACAACACAATACCCTATGAACAGCACCTAAGGTGATAACATGATCCTGTTTTATATTTGCCAAATGTCACTTTGCCCAGTGCTGGCGTGTTAGCACAGAGTTCATGCAAAAAGGTGGCAATTAGTGCTTAGGAGTCTTGATGCTGGATCTGAGGTCAATATTGACCAGACAATCCAAGAACGGCGAGGTGCAGATTCCTGGAGAATTGAAAAAAAAAAATCTTCCTGATACAAACCCTTAGAACCTCAGACCACCTAGAAGAGCTCAGACCTACCTGCAGTTGGTTGGAACATCTGCCTGGGGGCTCTGGAGGGATTTTTATCTCATCAGGAGACATGTTCCTTACTCTCTCGGAGAAGGAGGCTGGAAAAAACAAATGGGGAATGAGATCTGTTCCTCTGTAAGTGGTTTTAAATTAACACAAGCTTTGAAAACTCATTTTACTTTTTCGCTGCTGCTGTTATGCCATTTTGTGGCTGCAGGAGAGGCTTAAACAGGGATGTACTTGAGATGATTTGGCAGGCCTGTGCCAAAGGCTCAGAACTTGAGGGGCTTTTCCAAATGAGGCTGGAGAACATTAGCAGAGCTGTGGGAAATCTGCAGCACTTGCAAGCACCTTATGCTGTGGCTGATGATAACCAATATTTAACCCTTCTCCTTCACCAGTACTTAGAATAGCGTTTTGCAAAACTTGGATTTTTCCAACTTTACCTACTCTCCACTCCACGCACAGAACTTGCAGTTTGCCTTTGATTATTAAAGAAAGCACAAATGGCCCTGCCTGCACAGGAGCACACATTGCACAGGGGGTGTTATGTTACTCCAGCCCTGTGCACCTTATCTCTGAAAACTGCCCAGTTTGGAAATAATCAAATTGGGACCCTGCTTTCAGGACAGCCTGCTTGCATAGAAACATGTGCACTGCACTGAACAAGATCAGTTCCCCTCCAAAGCTGCCACAGATAGTCACTGGAAATGGCATTCCCTCCCCCAAAGTCAGTGTTTTCTTAACAGATGCTCTGATCTTTACTTGTGCAGTGGATCTGTCACTAGAAGGAATGGTTTGTCCTGTGGGGCTGAGGACAGAGCAGTACAGGTTGACAGGGCTCTTCAGCCAGGTTTTGCTGCTGGTGTTACCATCACTGTGGTATCTGGATGCTACAGTCTGCTCAAGTCACTGAGTTCAAAATACCACTATGAAAAAGGGACACAATCCTCTCCTGCTTGTACCTTTACCACACAGCTAAGAAGCAAGGATTGAAATTGGATGGGAAAGCATGGGCAAAGGGGTGTCACGTTATGTGTTTCGACAACAGCCAAGTTCATGCTTAAATCTGAAATCTCCTAATGAAACACCTACCACCCGCACCACATCACCCTTGAAGCAGTTATGATTCCACAGCTATGTATTCCCAAGTAGAAGCCAACTGAGCTGCAGCTCCAAAATATCCCAGCTAAATCCCCTTTGACTGAAGCCCAGAAGGGCCCCCCAAAGGCAGACACTTTCCATCCAAGTATATACAGCTTGTATTAGAAAGCAAGATAGTAGGCTATCACATCTCTGCAGATAATTAACACTACACTTGTTCAATGTTGCTCTACTTCCTTGTTCTTTTATTAAGAGCATAAAGCAACAAGGACAATAGCCCTTGGGGATGTGGAACTGGCAGGCGACCACTCATTCTGTTTGATCAGGAAGTTATGGAGAGTTAAATTCTTTGGCAGTTCCTAGTCACAAACAAAAAGTGATCTTTTGCATTTGCTAAAAGTGTGCCTCTGTGGAGAAGGGAAAAGTTGCCAGAGTGTGTACAGAAAGGCAGTCATACTCCAGGGCTTCTTGACAACAAGGCCAACATTTGTTATAGTAGACAGCTGCTGGTGGGATGGGGAGGTCTTTAACTTAATTAGAATTTCAGAAATGCAGAAAAATAAGAGTGCATAAAAACTCTGAGTGATAAAAAGGAGATGAGGTTCTGGAAGTGGTGAAACAGATGAACAGCTTCAAAGAAAACATTCACATTTACTGGCAGAGTGATTACAAGAGCAAGGAAGTTACCCAGGTAAACCTAGGCTTAAAAGGCAAAGGATCCAAACTAAATTCAGACACAGTCTTGAAATCTCTGGCTTTTACTCCTCTGCAGAGGACTAAAGGCTCTGGTTCGACTCCCAAGTCTAACTGGAGATGTCTCAGGAACTCGGGTGAGTAGCTAGGATGAAAATCCCTGAAATAAGGACGGTTTGGAAGGTACAAATCAAGGGAGGAAACATGCTGGGCTTATGCTGAGAAAGGGGATATTTGGACCCAAAGTAATTCAGATCCACTGTGAATGAGTGATGAGCAATTACTTCAAGGAGATAGGAGGTCTAACTTGAAAAAACAAACTAACAGCAAAAACACCCAGGTGTCTCCAGGCATATTAGCAATTCCAGAATAACCACAGATACATGGAAGGTCTTGGAACAACTCGCTTACAAGCAGCAATGAAGACCACTGACTGCAAACTATAAATCCGATCAGTGAGCTGGATGTGCTGATGTAGGGAAACAAGTGATCTACAGGTCAGTTCAGAGAATCTAAGGAAGTGCCTCGGAGGCACTACCTTCTTCCCATCTCTTTCCCAGCCCAAACCAGGATTATCCTCACATTTCAGAACTCTTGCATGGAAAAAAAAAAAATCAGCCCCAAAACCTTATTTAAGGTCTTATTTGTTTGGGCCTTTTAATGCATGTTTTAAACAATGAAACAATGCAGAGACCTTTAGAAATGAAATCTAAGGGCTCTGTTTTCTTCATCACTTTCTATGCCTGCAGATGTGAATGTGCCTTGGTAACTGATGCCATGGTGAGTCCTCACAGAAAGCATCCAGATGCTTTGTGCATCCTGGTATCCCTGCAACGATCAAAAGCTTTACTTTATGCAGATCAGAGGAAAGTGACACTAGTTGCATGCCCAGTCAGGGGTTGCAATCTGCTGGCTCCTGGCCCAAAGGACTTCCATGTGTGGAGAGCACAGGAAGTTGGCTATTGATATGATGAATCATTTCAGGCACACCCAAATTATGGCTAGCAGTTTAAGTATATAGCTGTACCTGGCAGCTATGGATCTGATCTGGATGAGAAAAATTCATGAGGAATGGTTCTTAAGACGTGAATGATTCAAGTTGGTTTTTGAACTGGGCTTTGAAGCCTGTCCCACAGGTATCACTAGATGAGCAAATAAAAGTACCTCTCCTTTCTGAGAATGGATTGCTGGCCAACGTGGCCAAGTCTGTGGATGTTCCTTGACAGATTCACTTAAGCAGTTTAAAATTCAGTTCATGAGGCTACAGCTCAGGTAGCTTTTATGGATACCTACTGCTTTTGGGGTAGTCACTGCAATGTACAGGTTTCCCTCGCTTTATGTAGGTTATGTACGAATTCGCTCTTATGCGATGACCCTTTTTATACCAAAAATTCGTTATATGCAAAATAAATTCACTCTTATGCAATCGGTGTGGTGGCATCCCGCAGTCAGCTGCTTTGTGCAGTGCAATGTGGGAGTGACACGCACCAAAATATAGTCTCCTGTATGGATCTATGGTTCTTGCTTGTTGACTGCCACACGTGTTTCTGTACTTGCCATCCCCATTATGGTAACATTCACCACCACCCTGTGCTTGTGTGTACTGTCTCCTGCTGCTGAGTACCAAAATTGCCTTGTAAAAATAGTAGAAGTGGGTTTGGGGGTCAGTACAGTTGAGGTCTTGGAATGCATCCCTATTTGTTACATTATAAAGTGGGCTCCCTTTATGCGAATTTGAGTTATGCGCCATTTTCCAGGAATGTATGTACAGCATAAAATGAGGGAAACTTGTACCCAAGTAAGGGTAAAAATGATTTCAGATGGAATTATTTTTGTTCTCCAAAGAGGAAGGTGATCAGGATTTTTGTAAACAGGATGGTTCAGACATCAGAACTCAATAGGAATAGTCATTTCCCAGAGCTCCTGATTAAAGAGCACATCTAATCAAAGATTATGTTATTGGTCTGCTAGTTATCCAGATGGACCTGGGGTGCGGTGGGGGGGGAGGTGTAGAAGGAGGTTGTTTGCTTTTTGGGTTTTTTTGCAGGCAACAAAGAGGCACAGCACAAAAAGAGGGAGGAAAGGAAAGAAGCTCTGGGAGCAGTGAGAGTTGCACGGGTGCAAACCCATCATTGCCCCCGCACCCTGAAGCCCCCCGTGACCCCCAGCAGCTGCGGAGCACCCCACTGACCCCCAGCACAGCCAGAGGTAAGAGGGGCCCATGGTGGGAGGGACATAGCCCAGCTGCGAGGCAGCTGAGTGGAGCCAAGGAGGGTCTCGTCCCACCCTACCCCCTAGGGAGCCACGCGACCGGAGCCCTGCGAACAGGATGTGCAAACAGGCGCGCTTCCGGGCCCAGCGCGTGAGTTAGTGTGGGAGTTCATGCAGGAGGGTGAGCGGCAGGGCCTGAGGCCCTGCCAGTGAGCCCTAGGGAAGCTAGTCCCATCAGTAGCCATCAGCAGCTGACCCACCAGTAGCACAATGTGGATGGGCACATGCCGCACCCCTCGCGGTCTGCGGCCCACCTCCCCGGGACCTCAAGGGCCTCCATCCAGACGGAGCCCATGGTTCTGGGCTCCATGCAGACAGAGCCCCTGGCTCTCGGCTGCAGCGGCTGCCTGGCACATTTCCAGGCTTCTGGGACCAGGAGCATGGCCACCTCCCCTTGCGAGGTTTGCTCCACTTTGGAGTCTCTGGGGTGCCAGACAAAGGAGCTCCAGGCCACAGTCCAGAGACTGCGTGCCATCAGGGATGGCAAGCAGGAGACAGACTCCTACCGCCAGGCCCTTCACCCCTTGGAGGCAGAGGGTAGATCAAGGTCACCTTCCAGGACAAGGGAGGACCTGGGGATCTCCCATACTGTCCAGCCAGAGGGTTGGACCAAGGTGGTCAAGGGCCCCAAGGCCTGCCGCACCAAGGTCCCCTCCCCTCCAGAGCTTTGCAACAGGTATGAACCTCTTGCAGTAGAGCCTGCAGAGATGCCAGCTCCTGCAGACCTGGAAGGATCACCCACCCCTACTCTCCCTAAATTGAAACACAGGGTGGTCGTCATGGGAGACTGCCTCCTGAGGGGGCAATCTGCTGCTCCGACCCCCTAGCCCAGGAGGTCTGCTACTTCCTGGGGGCCCACATCCGGGACATAGCAGAGAGGATCCCAAAGATTACCCGGCCCTCCAACCACTACCCTATGCTCCTTATCCAAGTGGGCATGAATGACACGGCTCGGAGCAATCCCAGCCAGGTCATGAGAGACTACAGGGCTCTGGGAGCGGGGCTTAGGAGGTTGGGGGTGCAGCTGGCC